CATAATGTAATTATGAACATATTTCATATTACAGATGGACAAATTACTTAACTTCCTTTGATTGCCATTCGTTTTTCATTAGGTTCGGCTGTAGGACCAATGAATTCTAACTCAATGTATTGACATAACTGCCTGAACATTCTAGTACGTTATTCACTAGCTCTTAATGCAGTTTTCACTCCTTCATCTATTCCATCGTACCAGTCTTCTACACAGCCATAGATACTATGTTCGATAAAATTTAAGAATTTTTCTAAAGTCCATGCAGTGTTTAAATTAAGTACACTACTCATAATCTTTTTCCATTTATCTAAAACATCTTGTATATCTCTCACACCATCTAATTTAAGCTTATAACCAGTTTGACTTATAGGTTCAAGAGTCATTTCTTCTTGTTTAGGCATATGATTAGTCATAACCTTGACACTAAACCGGGTAGTCTTCCCTGCTAGTATGTATCTTGGTCGTCTGCAACTTCCTTCTCTTTGATACCTAGGTCTTTGGATAACATTATTTACGTTAATGTTTTCAATAATAAAATCTTCTCCAACATCATTATTATCCATTACTCTGTTACCTAGTTTATTTTCAATCTTTTGTCGAACAACTTCTATGGGTAGTGTTTGGGGTAATTTTACCCTGACACGTGGTCCAACCAGAAAGTGACACGTGTCACCCTAGTGTTAGTCCAAATTGGACCAACCCCTGTCTGACACGTGTCATCCCAAAGAAATGGGAAAAAGGCGGCCTTCATGGCCTAAATCCCGAGAAAACCTCAATGTGGCGCAACCCGCCAATGATTAGGGCTTGATGACCTAATCAGGGGCACAATTCCCAAAGACCCTATAAATAGGGAGATTTCCTCCCTTTGGAGGCACATTTGACCATTTATTACACATTTACTCTTTGAAAGAGACATCTTAAGCTTGGAATCCGAGCGGATACCCACATAAATTTCCACACTTTTTTTACTCCTATTCAAGTTACTAACTTGATCGTCGGAGGCGGAGCTCCAACCACTCGGAGTCTCCGTTGTTTTGCGGGTACAACTTACGCCGGACCAGAATTTGTGACGTAGCTCTCCCGAGGGACAAAAACACCCAAAACATTTGGCGCCGTCTGTGGGGAGCTGAGAGTACCTCAAAGTTGGTTCAAGAGTCTGTACCACCTCCTGATCCAAACAATACTCAACCTATTACCCGACTGGGTAATAAGAGCATTTCTCAACCGGTTAACCAACCGAGTAGTTCAAGCGTTCCTCCCCCGGTACGTCAGCCGGAGGTCTTTACTGACCATGAAGACGATGATGATGATGATGATGATGATGTGCAGAAATATGTGGCCAAAGATGGCTCATTCATCTCTAAATACACTCGTTCCAGAGATCAGCTGGAACGTGAAGCAGACCAGGCGGGTCGAGTCAGACCCACCAGGAGGCCAGAAGGGGAAACCTAGAAGGCTAGAGGATCAGCTCCGGTCACCCGGGACGAGCTCATGACTTTCATGAACTCCTTTAAGGGTGAAATCAAGGAGCTGATCAACAAAAACAAGGTTGGCCCCAGCAAGGGTCAACCTGCTAAGAAGACACTTCAATCTGGGAGAAAAAAGCCGGTCAAGGACAGGCAGCATTCTCCTCATCCCAAGGAGAAGGAGAAGGCAGCCGGTAGACTTGATTGGACCAAGATCCTTATGCCTAAGGGTCCTCAGAGGCACACCCGGCAAGAGCAGCCGAGAGCCACAAAGAAAACTGTTTATGACGCTCGACAAATAATTGAGCGGAGGAGACACCAGCAGCTGTCTGAGTCAGCCTCCACCTCGAGCTTTCCAGACAGCTTCAAACAGAGTTCTGTGAGGAACTCACTCTCCATACATGAGAGTGGGACAGGCGGCAAGTCCGCCAACACTGATCCTCAAATGATGATAGGGCTTGTCCCATTTGCACCTCAGGCGCAATACGGGCAATATGGTTTTCCATTTATGCAGCCGCTTCCTTTCGGAGGATAGGCGACATTCAACAGCGTATAACCTTTGGACTGGCAGCTCCGACTGCTCAAACTTGGTGAACAACCCTCTGCGTTAACCAGGAATATAACCGAGGCGGCACAACGGGCCAAGGTTAAGAATGTGTTGGTAGGTACTTATGATGGTACCTCCACCCAGAAGACCACCTGATGGCATACACCAACCTCAAGTGTCTACAGGGGTGGGACGATGCCACTTGGTGTCGATGTTTCCCGGCTACATTGAAGGGTATTTCCCAACAATGGTTTGGCAACCTGCCAGCCGGTTCTATTGATTGCTTCAAAAAGCTAGCTTTCTTGTTTGCCACAAACTTCTCGATGAACATCCCTGCTAAGAAAACAAGCCTTGATTTGAGCACCGTTAAGCAAAGCGAGAGAGAAGGGCTACACTCATGTCAGACGGTTCAACCTGGTCAGAATCCAGATCCTTGGGACACGCCTTGTTAAGGTTTGTGTAATCAACACATATACGCCAGGTACCATTCGGCTTCTTTAGAAGCACAACATTGGCTACCCAGTCGGGGAAATTGCATGGCCGAATGAACCTAGCGTCCAACAGCATTTTTACTTTAGCAGCTGCCGCCTGACTTCTTTCCTCGCCGTTATTTCTTTTCTTTTTTCGAATGGGCTTCTTTTTAGGATCCACGGCGAGTTTGTGGACAGCAAGATCCGGGCTGACGCCTGGCATCTCTTCCACTTCAAAGGCAAAAATGTCTTTGAATTCTTTCAGCAGAAGGTGCAAGTCTGCACCCATCTTACAAAAGCTGTTGTCCCCACCTTAACAGTGCGCTCTGGACGGTTTTCATCCAAAGCGAGGTCCATGTGCTCTTCGGCTGGTTTGGGACGGAGCTCGTCGTTCACCGGTCAGTGATTGCTATTTTTTCTCTTTTTCACCTCCACCAGCTGAGGGATAGCTTTTATTTTCTTTCTGGCTACTGGTTGGGTTGAGCTGGCATCCTTGACATTGTCAAGGTCTATTGGTTCCTGTGCTTGGCCGTCTAGGGCCACGGTGTCTTTGACGGCTAAGAGATTACACTCCCGGACCGTCTTCTGATCCCCGTTCAGGGAACCAACAGAGCCATCATCCTTCTCATACTTGATGTGCATGAGAGAAGGAATAATTACAGCCTTGGCTTCGTTGAGGGTTGGACGACCTAAAATGATGTTGTAGGCGATCAGCTCCTCAACGACCGAGAATTTGACGACCAAGTGTCGTCCTTCTCCTTTTTCTCCCAGCCGGATAGGTAAGTCAATCCTACCGACTGGGTAAACCATCCCATCCCCAAAACCAACCAAGGGGTGGGTAACCGGATGCATGCTGCTGGGCTTGTATTTTAGCTTCTTCAGGCATCGGAGGCTGATGATGTCCGACGAGCTGCCGCTGTCAATAAGGATTCGGCCTAACAGCTTGTAGGCGACCTTACATCCAATGAAGATCGGGTCGTCATGCGAACGGTGGACGCTACCCCTGTCCTTCTCGGTGATCAAAACGTCTGGGAAGGAGGAGTTGGCAGACGCCTGCTCATCATCATCCTTGTCAATCTTTTGAAGATGGCTTTTGGTGCCCCGGATGGTAGGGCCACCACATGAGAAACCGCCTGCTATGGTGTAGACCGGCTCCTTATCGGTGTCCGACCTACAAGTAGGCTGGGGATTCTTCGACGATTGCCCCTTGTTCCTCTTATTAGTCCCTTTGGACATAGAAATGTAGGACTTTAGCTTCCCCTTATCAGCTAGACAGTCCAACGCCCGCTGAAGGCTGAAGCAGTCGTTGGTGTCATAGCCAACTTCCTCATGGTACTGACAAAAATTTGTTCTTGTTCCGTGACTAGACAGAACTTTTCATTGGATTCGGCTTCTCAATGGTAAGCCGGTCCTTTATCTCCATGAGAATGGAGTTAAAGTCCTTCTTAAACTCGTACCTAGGGACATACGGTTTAAACTCTCTCTTTTTCTTCTAGGACGGCTGGTCAGAATCACTAACCGCCCAGACTTCTTTTCTCTTTTTGCTCTCTTCTTCCTTTTTTGTCGGCTGAGCATTCTGGCTTTCTTTTTGTTTGTCAGACTTCTTGGAGTCTGACAGGCTTCCAGGCGTGCAGAGGTCGGTAGCTTGAATATAGCATTTTGCCTCCCTCAAGGCCGCCTGCAGCGTAAACGCCCCTTTTCTGACCAGGTCAAACTTAAAGTTCGACCGGTCTCTCAGACCCTTGAAGAAGTTGATTCATTTCCTACGGGCCATCCGGACAACAACCAAAGGGGCAACCGGTGAAACCCCATTTCTCATGGTTTACGGTGCTGAAGCCATACATACAGGCGACATGATTAAACTAATTGCCGCCTGACCTGGGTAATTTGAATTACCCTCCAAAGTTATACGTCTTCCCAATGTGAAGTCGGTCATCTGCCTCCTGTCTTATGATTTGACAGGCGGCTCTTTGCCTTTTGTCTAATTCTCAAACGGCTTTTTTCCGTCTGATAGAAAATCCGAAACGCCTGCTATATGTGCGGCTGTGTACTTTGTTTGGGGCAATCATTATTGTGATTGATTTACTTGCAAATATATCATGCTCTTTAAAGCATCAGACGTTTCTAAGCCAATCAATCGATTTTAAGGGAAAACCAACCACACAGCCGCCCAGAGGCAAGAGCAGCCGAATTATCAGTTGCCGCATGCTTTTCATAAGTTAGGCAAAAGCAAAAAATTTCAAGCATACTTGCAAAATTGAAAATGCAAAATTCAAGCGCAAAATGATAAAAACCGACTCAGTCGGCGCATTCATTAAAAAACTACCCAACCAAACGGTTGTGGTAGAACATTGTTAACCGGACTCCGTCCGGGAAAGTGATGCAAATTGTTAATTTACCCGGCTCCTTAGCCGGTAAAGACAACATATACTCGGCGCGCAGGCCGGAAAGAAAGTAATTTGGCATATAACCACTGAATCAGAATAAATAAAAATGGCATACTACCGCAGAGAGTCATTGCTGAGCTGTAGACAGGTCCACCAGGTCATTGCCCCCTTCATCTTCTTTGTTAGAAGGAATCTCATGCGCTTGACTTCGGACGGGGTGCCCAGGTTCCGACAACCCAGCATTAGCCCAGGCTTCAAACGACTCCGGCTCTGGCTTGCCTTTCTCCCTCAAGAATATTACCTCTTCAGCATATTTGTGAGCTAGTGCCCAGACGGCGTACTCCTTGTTTGGATACAAGGTGTTCCAGGCAATCTTCATTCGGGCATTGTTGTCAGCCTCTCTCTCGGCAACCAGGCCCTCTTGTTCCGCCTCCAGGGTTGCCTTAAAGTTCAGCTGCGCCTGGGCAGCCGCCTCCTCCAGATCTTTAACCTTGGCCTTGAGGTCAGTGTTCTCTTGGGAGATCCCTTTGAGAGAGTCCAGCTCCGCCTTAGCCTTGCCAAGCTCCTCTTGAGCTTTTTTGAGATCCGTCTCAGCATCTCTGGCTTTCTGCTTAAACGCCTCCAGGTCCTTCTCGAGCTGCTCAATCTTCGACGCCTGCGCCATTACTGTGGCTTTAGTCTCAAGTTCATTTACTGTACAAGAGTATAGAGCAACGTTTTCAGCGTCTCTGGCTGATTTGTTGGTTTTCTTTACCTCTTCTCGCTTGCGGGAGTATGGACGTTTGAGACCGTCTACCCGCAAAAGAGACTTCATAGAACGAATCAGGTTAGATCTTCAGGCGGAATAAGACCTAAAGTTTATTTTCTTTACTTTCTTTACACCTCACCTCAGCCAGAAGAGATAGAATGCGTTCCAGATTGAACGTCTCTATCCCAGAGATGTTGTCTTTATCCCTCTTCCGGACGGCATCAAGCATGGCCTTGGCATGCTTCTAGACGTCTGGCCAGCGAGGAGAGTGATCTGAACCATAATCAACATTTGATGAGTGCGAAATACAGGCGGCACTAATCTGTTACCGATCGTATGAGGAAGAAGTCTGTTGGGAGTGGGATTTCACTCGCAAAGGCCACCCTAACTCTGGCGGGGACTCAAATGGGTTTGCCTTACCTTCAAAGGCGACGTGGCGAGAACCACTCGTAGGCGCTGTAAGACCTCTGCCTACAGATAGGGGGTTGGCAAGGTCAAGGCCGAAGTCGCTGGATACCTCCTGCATCTTCCCCCCTATGCGCATCTGAGTCTTCTCGGCTTTGGCTCCAGGAGTCAAAGAGGAGGCAGACTTCTTGTTTTTGGAGCGGGTAGAGACGGAGTCATCCCTTGCCCGTTGAGAGACTTCTCAAACGTTTTTGGGATTTCGCCTCCCTGCAAAGCGTATACAAGTTAGTTATGCATCTAGAAATGAAACTTGTGAAGTAAAAGGAAAGAGGGTCAGGCGTCTTACCTTGGCCCTGATCACAACCGCCTGCTTCTCCGCAATATCTTTGCGGATGGTGGTGGCGAAGGACCGTTTGAGTGTCTTCTCGTCCGGGAGCTTGCTAAAGCTTCTTCTGCAAAAAGAGGAAAAATATCAGTATTTGCACATCTGACATGAAAATAGCCCAGACGGTCAAAAGGTCAGGTGCATACGTTTGGTAAACATTGTGCTGAGCCTACAGGCAGATAAAAAGGCCTCGTCTTTGAACCAGGCGCTTTTTGGGATCTAGTTCTTTGGAACTTTTATTGTTTCCCCAGTTGACAAGGTAGCATTCTCAAGACCAAAAAAGGTTGTCTCAATTATTTTGTCGTAGTCCTCATCCGGAATTCAGGGAAGACAACACTTCCGGCCTAGAAGGTTGGGCTTTTTATTATACCGGCGCAATTCAAAATTTTCTCGTCGGCTAGGTACAGACAGCAAGTAGAAGCGGTGCTTCCTGCCGTCAAATTTGGACACTTTGTCCAAAGTCATCATGTACTGAGGGATTGTGGTCAACGTATACCACGCCCTCCAGCCGCCTGGGTTGCGACTCAGGTAATGCATATGGGCAAAGGCCTCCCAGCAGGGACGCAACCCTTGGAACTCACAGGCGGCAGCATACCCAAAGATGTTAGCCTAGGAATTGGGGGTAAGTTGCCACACTCCAAGGCCATAGCCTCTTAAAATTGCCTTCACCGTCTCGTGAAGTGGAAATCTCAGCCCGACTAGGAACGCTGCCTCATAACAGCCAAAGTAGGCATTGGCGTTCCTCTCGTCATCTTTCCAAGAGGCGGTGCCTTCTGCAGGCGGCACCCGGATGCTATAATTACCGGCTAGGGGGTGCATGAGTTTTAAATTCTCTAAGTCTTTGTCCATTTTTACCCTATCTTTAGCAGAGACATGGATCTTGAAGGGGTCGTCCTTCTCACTCCATTTTTTCCTGTCCTCCACCTCACTATCCTCAAGCGGTGAAATAGGTTCGTTACTGCTCTCGGAGCTGGAGGCAGAGCTTTCTCCGGATGACTCCTCATCCTGCGAGCAAGGCATAGAGACGGTCTCCTCACTATCTCCCTGGTCGCGTTCATCAAGGAAGGAATCTGTAGGGGTTGAAGGGGCACGCGGAGGAGACCTCTCAGCAGCCGTCGGGTTTTCCCTACCTGACGTCACCCCCTCAGGCGGTTGCCTGCCTGAGCCCTCGCTCCTACAATCGGGATCTATGGTCGTCTGCATTGTCCGAGCCATTGTGTCCTACACAGACACATAGACGGTCGAATTCCAAGCATAAGGGTGGTCCTAACACCCCGAGGCAGCACTCTCAGTCCTAGACTCAGCTGTACTAGGAGACCGGCTGGACTCTAACCTAGGTTGTACCGTGTGTGTTGGTGATGCATCCATTTATTGCAAAGAATATATACAAGCGAGAAAAAAAATGAAAAGAGCTGAGAGAGACAAAGGCGGTACCTTTAGAATTTATATCTGAAGGTAAGACGGAACCGACTTTGGCAGACGGGAATGAGCTTGTTTGCTTGCGCTTGACACAGACGTAAAAGCAGACTCTCTCTCTCTAAGTTTATCTCCCTTAAAGTTTTTGTAAACGTACAAAATAATGAGGGTAAACGGCTATATATAGGGGTTAAATTCAGGGGTACCTCCGTTATTTCCGTAGAAGGTGAACAGTAAAAAATTGGCGGTAAAATCACCCCCCAATAGAAGAGTGACACCTGTCACAGATGCCACGTAGAATGCCACAGGGGCAAATGTTTAGGGTAATTTTACCCTGACACGTGGTCCAACCAGAAAGTGACACGTGTCACCGTAGGGTTAGTCCAAAATGGACCAACCACTGTTTAACACGTGTCATCCCAAAGAAATGGGAAAAAGGCGGCCTTCATGGCCTAAATCCCGAGAAAGCCGCAATGCGACGCAGCCCACCAATGATTAGGGCTTGATGACCTAATCAGGGGCACAATTCCCAAAGACCCTATAATAGGGAGATTTCCTCCCTTTGGAGGAACATTTGACCATTTATTACACATTTACTCTTTGAAAGAGACATCTCGATCTTGGAATCCGAGCAGATACCCACCTAAATTTTCGCACCTTTTTTACTCCTATTCAAGTTACTAACTTTATCGTCGGAGGCGGAGCTCCAACCACTCGGAGTCTCCGTTGTTTTGCAGGTACAGCTCACGCCGGACCAGACTTTGTGACGTAACTCTCCCGAGGGACAAAAACACCCAAAACAGGTAGAAAGTCTAGATTATTTAACTTCATTAATCCCATTTTTTGATATAAATCTTCCTCTAAAGTAACATAATTATTTTCCTCTATTTCATTATCGAAAGCAATCGCTTTTTCAGAAATTAAGTTCATGATTTCGTTACTTATTAGGGTCTTCTTCCTTATCGAATAAGGCTTGTAATTCCTTAGCGTTTTCTCCTGAAGATGAGGTCTCATATTTAGTTTCTTTATTCTTGTTTTGGTTACTAGTAGGTCTTTTAGGGAATGATACAGTAAACTTTTTATTTTTATCTAAATTTTGTAAAGGATACTTCTTTTCCGAATTGATGCCTAACTTCGTTTGTTAAAGCAAGTTGAACTTGTTTAACCGATTCTTTTAGATCGCTTACTTTTTTATTAATATCGATTGTTGTTATTGATATCTTATTTTTGATATTAGTACAACGAGCATGTATGTTATCAACTTCTGATCTTAATTGACCAATTTGATCTACTATATAATTAAGGATTGGGCCAAAATTACTAGTATTTTCAGGAATATGATAATAATGCTTAAAATCAGGTTTCTTACACTCAGTATAATGTCTAATATTCTCTAGTTTTACCTAATTATTAATTAAATTAACAACTTAATTTAACTTTTAACCGTGTGGCTCTGATACCAAATCTCACAGCTTAACAGTTTCTAATTTATAATAACACAATTGTCTTCCTTAATAACATATTTCACTTATGCAGTAACAGCATACAAATATAACAATTAATTTCTAATACAAACACTTAGCCTTTTAATATAAAAGTACTATTGAAAAGAGCAAAATGACACCTCAAAAACAATATTGAAGAAACATATAACAATATAAATTTATTATAACAAGATCAAACATAAAATAACATTAAAATAGCAAATGACGTTTTTCCTACACTTAGCGAATTTTTTTTTTCAACATAGGTATGGACCTTCGTTGTCACTACCTGGTAATTGGCAATACTTTCTCTTAAGTAAGCGGTAATCTGATGGTATTCTAGATTTAGACATGAAGTTTTAGTTTTTGCTTAGTTTGTACAAGGATAACCAAAGCTTGATATTAACTATTTAGAAGATACACATTAACGTTTCTTGAAGTTCAAGAAAAGGAACATCCGCCTAATCTAAGCTCAAGTTACTAATCATTCTACTTAGTCCTTTTTAGCCCTTTTGCTTACAAGTTTTAATATATGAAAGGGGTTTCCTAGGATCAAGTGTAGAGTTTCTTTAATTTCCTTTTTCTTTTTCTTTAATCTAAATCTTTAAAAATTTAGTTAATTTAGTTACTTGTGCGGAGTAGATAATCTAGTTGGTTAGTTTGTTAGCATTACTTAAGGCTAAACATTTAGGAATTGCGTGTGGACTTGGTTCCTTAAGTTAGGATGTTAAGTTTGTTAGAATTCTACTTCTATTAGGTTAAGCATTCGGAACTTATCCTAATTAGTAGGGATAATCTCCATAAAATAGTAAAATACTCTTACGTACACCATATACTACATTTTTTTATCAAATGCCACGACCTAAAGGCTAACATAACGGTATTTTAATTGCCATTGCAATAGAGCAGGCTAACGCAACCGATTCAATATTAATGTTGTAAGAGGTAGAGCTATTACAACGACTCTAATGAACCGTTGCATTAGCCTAGATATTTCAACAAAAAGGAAAGCTGATGCAACGGTATGTGATTATGTAATGCAAAATGTAGGAGGCGCGCCGAAAGTTTCAGCTTCCCTCTACTTTTTTTGCCCAAATGTTTTGAACCCTTACATTGGGGAAAAAAGGGAAAAAAAAAAAAGAAAATCAAAAGAACTCTGTAGACTATACTATCATTTTCTCACATTTTGTACTACCATTTTACCCTATTCTCCATTTTCCCCAATTCTCCATTTTCTCACATCAATTAAGCAATTTCAAAAACTTCAAATTGTCAATTTTGCTCAAATCTCCAATTCTGGGCCATAAATTACTCAAAATTTATGAGAGGAAAATTACTTATAATTTCTTGAAAATTCCGAGACGAAAGCTTAGCAA